CGCCTTTACGAGAGTTTTCGAATGGTGCAATAATTATGTCGCGCTGACCTTTCCGAGAGGGGGTCCATTTTTTTATTGGATTGGATGGATTGGATCGATTCTTTATAGATTTGGCGGCGCCGTAACACGCACCGGGTGCTGCTTCGTCTACGCAAAATTGTGATTTGGAGCGAGACAATAAAAAAGTCGTTATTGCTTAATCAAATCCATAAAGTATCCATAAACAACAAATGCGCGGCTCATGATCATGAAATCCATAAACTGGTAGTTACCTCCAAGCGGACAAAAACATTAGTTTTTTCCCATATAACTCCGTGATTGACTTAAACCAATTAAACCATGTCGAGATATCCTGTTCGCTTAGATCCTTTATCAAATTTCCTCAATAGTTTCCTCAATAACTGTTATTCAATCGCAAGCTTAGTGTTGATGAATAGAACGACAGCCGGTGACGGTCCCAGACGTCGCATTTTAATCAGCCCGACTTATCAACACCGTGAAATTGGTGACCCAAATCGAAATTGAATGGTTCGTAGATGGAATCGCACCAGACCGTTGAAACTTGTCTGACAATCAGTTCATAGTGCCGTTGCAGCTTCACAAAAAAAACAATATTCGATAAAAATCCTTTTATCGATGCTTGCGGAACCACCAAATACTATCAACGCTCAAATTCAGCCTGCTTTCGCCTATGTTCCAGTCGTTTTTATGACGTACTACAGGGTGTCCCCAAAAAAACCCCCCTACCTAGCGGTCCGGCGTCAAGCCCGATTCTTATGATCTTGCTACCGTTCGAAAGCGCTCGAAAAGCCGAGAAAACAAGCGGTTTTCGTCTTCCAATATTAAATCTCGTTCCATCGATATTTAAGGTTTTCCTAAAAAACCCGAAATTTTTCGACAGGAATTTCGCAATTAGCATGCAAATCCTGCATAAATTAGCAGTTTTCATGGTTTTTGGACGTAAAATTAGCGAATAAAAATGCATAATAAAGTAAATGAACTCTCCTTGTTTGCTCGCCTTTTCGAGAGCTTTCGATAGATACCTAAATCGTAAAAATCGGACTCGACTGCGGACCGCTAGATAGGGGGTTTGGGACACCCTATATGAATCCAAAGGAATCGATCGCCTTTGAACTTAACTTAGTACTTAACTTGAACTTAGACAAACTACGGTACTCACGCTTTTTGAAGGTTGATGTGTCTTCGTTATAAAGGATGTATGTAAACGCAAATAAATGATCTACCTTATTTTCAAAGAGAGAGACAATTAAATTTTTGACGGATGAAATTCGCCGGGGTTTCAAGGCCCGATTGCAAAGATACCTCAGAAAAAATTGTGTAAAAACTATAGCACCAATCGATTCATTGCCGCCCCAACGAGGCAATCAGTTTTAGAAATCCATCCCTTGATCAATTAAGGGTTATACAGAAAGCTAAATCAGTAGCGAAATTCAAACATCAGCACCAGCTTTCATTGGCAAGTTACGATGGCTTACTATTTCGAGTTGCACCATGAGCGGTGAGTACGTTGCAATACGATCGTACTGTTGATTGACTAGAGGTATCAGCTGCACTGTAAAACTGGATAACAAAAATTTCGTAACAGATCGAAATGGATTTTTCGATACTTCATTTTCACGTTATCAGCTACGGTTTACTGCAACCTTAATTAATACCCACCTCTTTTCCAAAAATCGCTTGCAAAGTTCCATGGGAATCATGGCCCAGAACTTAACTGGTATTCCTTGCGGTATCATCCGGAATTACAGCTCACAAAGTATAGCCCAGCTACCGTAGACCCTTCCGGGGGCACCAGACTACCGTACCCGCGGGGCCATGTACATGTTTCTCGGTGCCTCGCATTTTTCTGCGCCGATCAGTGGCTCCGGAAATGCCCCGGCGGCCCCGGGTACGGTAGTCGGGGGTGCAAAAAAGCGGCCCCAGGCCGGATAAGCGGCTACCGTACCCCGGATTGGGGGACTGTAAAAAAGAGGGTCCCGCCCAACAAATATCCAAAGTAAAGAGAAGACGTGCGATGTTGCGAAGAAAAATGACCGCCCGGGGCGGTATTTAAGGGTCGGTCGTCGGCTTTTAAAACGACTTGAATACTACCGTATTCCAAAACTATCTTACTCCCTACCATACCCTGAAAAATGAAGGGCTTCTGTGTTCTGGCTGTGCTTGTTGCTTGCGTCGTGGCCAATTCCCGACGTGAGCGCGAAGTAGAGGGCCAGCCGGACGTGATCCATTGCCGCGGGCTGAAGAATGGTGGGTAGTACTGTAGCGAGTATTGGAGCGTACTACAGTAGTTGTACGGTGTAGCGGAGCGTATTGGAACGGTGTACTGTAGCGTAGTTCAAAATAAAAATTTGAAAAATTTATTAAAAACATACCATTTCGTATGTTACTCCATAATAAAGGGTTGCGTAGTCGATTAGGTGCTAGTATCTTAGCGGGGGTGCCAGTTTTACATACTTTCTTACAATAAAGGGTATACTTAAATTATAAAAGTTCGATTTATATAGAAAATGTTATTTACGATAAGAGTAGCCTAAATTCAAAACTATTTCAAAAATTTATTTTTCTGTTTGGTATTAAAAGCTGGTAAAATGCTATTAGAATAACTACTTTTTGACCGCATGTGCTCACGCAACGCAGGAAAAAGTCAACCCCCCCGGATAACAAACCAGTACCGGAGCGAGGGCAAGTCGCTCTTTTCGAACTCGTTGAACTTGTTCAGCTTTGGTTTCCCTATCGAATGACCTATGGCTCACCTTAAAGCCCCCAACATCACTTGCAAGACCTCACACTCGCGCCATTTTTGCAGTCATCTTGACCACGTTCAAATATTTCTGTGGAGCCTAGACCGGCGATTATCCGGGTTGCGGTGACCAGTAAAAACTGTATGCCAATGGCCCGCGTAAGTGCTTTGGTTCGACCGTAATCTGCCCCGGGCCCAGAGTGTACATTCATAAAATACAATCTCCGCGACACCATTGCTTATATATTTTCTGAGGGTGGTCATTTTCTAGCATACGCGGCGAACGTAAGATTAAATTTTTTCTAGACAGTTTATGTTTTGGTAGTGGGAATGTTTGTGGTAGAGAGAGAAGATAGAAAAAGTGAACGAAAGTGCAGAGAGAGTGAGAGAAAGCCACAGAAAGAGCGAGATGGAGAGAGCGAGAGAGAGAGAGAGAGAGAGAGAGAGAGGAGGAGCGACGGAGAGATAGAGAGCGCTGGGGGAAAATTATGGAAAAGCATATCTTAGAAGCCAAAATACAGCAGTGTGTTTTTGTCGCTTTCAGGCACCTACACCGAGCAAACCTGCAAGCTTGATCATCGTCACGAAGGAGTCTTCGACATGCTGACCTGCTATTCTGTGGCCCGTGAAGGGAAGGTCTACGAGAGCGGATGCATGGTTCGCCAGAGCGAGACGGTATATCATCCCAAATCCAGACGATCTAGGAGACCTTGGAGAAGTTGATGCTAAAGCTCGAGATTTCAGGAAGAAGCTGGGATGTGCCTGCGCGGATCGTGCCAGATGCACACCATTGGGGTAAGTTGAGGAGAGAGGAAGAGAGAGAGAGAGAGAGAGAGAGAGAGAGAGAGAGAGAGAGAGAGACAGAGACAGAACAGAGACAGATACAGAGAGAGATGTCGGCAAAATACAGAAATAGCGGCTCCAGATAACCCCCCAGCCGGCACCCAACTTTTGTATCTCGGCTCCCTGTTCATCTACAGGTGTGTAAAGTATACGAAAATACTCGCCACACAAGACGACATTTTGCTATTTTCACACCTGTAGATGAACGGGGCGGTGGTGGGGCGTGGGCGGGGGTCTGGGTTTGCCGAAATAGCGCCAGATTCACCAAATTTGTCTTGAATTATACTCCTTTTTTCAGGAATCCGGAAGCAGCTGGTGCTGCTGCCAGGGCCGCTATTGCAACGACAAGATCGTCAGCGGAGAATCCGTTTATTACTAAACCTCTTTCCCCTCGTCAATCTCCCAATCCTTGCCATCCCATAACAAAAATGTGATCGCTTTACTGCTTGTAGAACACCTTTCAAAACCCCGCAACAATCGCCCCCTCCCAATAGTCCAATCCAAGGTCAAATCTCCCGGTGTGCCGATGCCCTTTTTTGGCAGCCCATATCGATTTCTCTTTTAGTGTGCAGCTGCTACGAGTAGTTTCTGTCTATTTTTCACGAGTTTATAGAATTTCTCCTCAATAAACATTAGTAAAAGATTGCTTCTATACACTTGAAATATTCAAATTCAAAAGTATGTTGAAAAATTTCTTTTTGAATTTTGCATTGCAAGAGGGAGTTAGCGCGAGAGAAGGAGAGAGCGAGAGCGGGAGAGAAAGGGAGAGCAAGAAGGTGACAGGAGAGCGAGAATGGGAGAGAGAGCAAGAGAGAGAGAGTGAGCGAATCTTCGAATAATTTCTGAAAGAACTTTTAAATGCCTATCCTAACTTTTGAACTGTAAGATTTCTTAATTTTTTTTTACCTCGCAGTCCCCAGAATTTCCTAAAAGTCCATGTACATTTTAAATGCGCTTCTATATTTTATTTTCCACGCATTAAATGTATTGCTTTTCAGTTTTCAATTAGCTTTACAATTGAACTAGGTAAGTTTGCAATTTTTTTAAGTTCCGCAACTTTCCAAAGCGCGCCAGGGGATTCGCAACCCCTAAAATTCCCCTGCTGCTAGATTTTGTTTTTGCTGGGGGTCAGCGCACGTGAAAGAGAGGGTCCCCCTCATATCAGGCCATCCCCCTAGCCCCCTTTTTTCTATTTCCATCCACCCTTTATCGCCCATCTGCCCCCTCTCCACTCCCCGGAGATTTGACCAGTTTTGCCCAAGGTGAATACGAGACCGTTCCGATCGGCCCGGATCGCAGTCGTACGGAAACCTTGAAATTTGGGCCGCCACTGCCGCGACTTTCCAATTCTATTTCGCTCAAAACTAACATTCCAAGAAAAATGTTCATCCCTAAAATGGATCTGCGACCTATGGAAATTGTCAACCTAACCGTTATCATTTCTTCATTGCTGATTTTTTACTTTTTCCAACAAATTTTGCCAGGTTGGTTTGCTACAAATTGCCGCTTGATAAAAAAGCGTGCGAAAACCACGATATTCAAGTAAAAAAACCGTTTTGATAAATTGGGAATATTAAATTAATGAAATAAAAAAGAAAATTTCGACAAAAATCCTCTGTGAATTGATTCAAATTAAATTTTATTTGGCAGCAAAGATTAGAGCAGATTTCGCTAAAAGTAGCAAACTGGAGTGAAAACTTCACGTATTCGATTCCGTAGCACAAAAAAACGCTTGATTTTTTGCACCTGAAAATATTGAATGCCTTGTACTAATTTATTATGTTTTAGAAATGAGCCAACCGATCCGATTCCCGGAAGTGGCCGTTGTCGACGGGGCTAGTTTGGTGTCGTTTGATAAGAAGTGAGTGTTTCTTCGGCAGCTCGTCAAACAAAGCAAAACAAATAAACTACTTTGAAACTACGTGTAGTGGAAAAACACACAAAAATAATGTAAGCAAAAATTAGGAGTTTTAGACCCGAGCTAAAAGGTCTGCCGTGGCCTTCGCGGGGAGGACGAGCTGTTGAAGGGGGAGATGGTGATGAATTTGTGAAGAAGGTAAAAGTTCGCTCTCCCTCTCTTGCTCTCTCGCTCTCTCCCTCTCTCTCCCTCTCTCTCATCATCATCTATACCTCAATTATTGCAGAAAGTGGCGGCTGATCTCTCCAAATCCGACCTCATCGTCCACGTCGACGGTCCGGTCTTCTACCAAGCCAACAACAACGAGCAATTCAACATTATCATTCAGAGAGCAAAACTCGAGCTCCAGGAATTCATGTAAGTTCTATAGGTTTTGAGCCAAAAGGCCCATTGAGGTCAAGCTCGCTATCGACTTTTGGATTTGGGGTTCCTGCGCAAATTTCTATCTTGAGATCGGCCTCAATTTCTATTTTTTTTTAGAATCCCAGCCAAGAATGGAATTCTTATCCAACCGAACGTTGCCCATTCTGCTCCGTTTGGAAATGGAGGAGGCTGCACGCAGACTGTTCGAGCAGTAAGCGGCATTTTAATTTGATGTAATTGCCGGGTTTTAGACTAATGGTGTCTTGCCGGCTGCACTTTATGAAATGGTTGAAAAACCTAACTTTATTCAACTTAAGTTGGATGCGGGTTTTTCGAAGGAGAAGCTGATTTTGGAGGTAGGCTTGCTGGCAATTATTGTGATAGACGCGGAGAGAGAGAGAGAGAGAGAGAGAGAGAGAGAGAGAGAAAGGACATCGCTCAAGTATTAATCATTATTTTAGGAAGCCACCTCGAACGCTGCGTATGAAATTGTCGATCAGAAGGACTTGGACGCCAGATCATTCCGAGTTGCCAATGGCAGAGTCGTGGAGACGGTAGCCTTTAAAAAATACCATAATTTGCAAAAAATCTAGTAATCTTACGTAAGGAAAATTCAGGTAACACCAGCCGATTGGCCGTTATTCCTGCCAAACAACGAGCAGCACTTGGCCTCAAATGTCCAGGCACTCGAGCAAGAGTTTACGATGGAATGGGTGGATGAGGGGCATCGGAAGGAGATACTATTCAAGGTATCTTTCGCCTTAAATCGAATTATAATCTTTTTAGGGCCTATCTGGCTCTTTGGCTGGAGGAGAAGGACGGCCAGGAGTCGTCTACAACAAGGAGAAAAAGACGATATCTATTAATGTAAGTTTAGCTATTTAAGCAGCATCAAAATATTGTGTTTTCCAGATTTATCTCCATTTTAATGAGCTGTAAAAGACGCTTTAAACTAACTTTATTCCCGCTTATTAGCTCCTCCTCTCCCGACCGGACGGCTCTTTCTTCATCTCCACCAATGGTGAGCTGTTGATGCTCATCGCCCAGGCTGACCATAATGGAGAGCCGCTCAGGGTGAGTATCTTCGACATTTTTCACGTATTTTTTTCTGCTTTTTCATCGATATTTCGGAGCCCTCTTCCAGTAAATTTTTGATAAGATTTAGCTTTAATTTAGCTTTAATTTTTCAATGGCAATTTTAATAGTTATTGTTTTTTCTAACAACTATTGTAGATTCTTACCTTCCTTTAAAAAAACTTTATGTCACTTTTAGAGCACTCTTGAAGCCGTCTCATTCAAAAACGGCGTGAAGCTGCCGGCCGGTTGGTGGCATTCCGTGCCATTCCCCCGTCCGGACGTTGCGAAGATTCATTTGTATGAAAAGGTAAAGTTTAAGGTACCTTTCTGAAACGATTTAAGCAATACAGTATTTTACAAATTATACAGTATATTACAAAATACATCAAGTAGAACGAGTTTTCCATTGTTAAAAATTAAGCCGAATTCATATTTCACTTTCCTGCGATTCAAATGGCCGAAACTTTATTTTATTATGGTACCGATCGGTCCCAAAATTGGACGAGAGGTGTATCAGACCCTAAATAACCACAACCCTGAGTTATAGCCCGATCGCTCCAGTAGTTTTCGAGATACAACAAAAATAAACTTTATAATGCTTTTTTCATAGGGTTTTCCTCGGAATCGTCCTTTCGAATATTAAGTGAAAATAAAGCGGCAAGCCTTCTTTACCCCTAGAAATTTTTTCCTGATAGAAAATTCATCAAATAACCGTTGATTCCGGAAATTTTTGTAACCAAAGCCGCCCTTGATATTAAGCGAAATTAGGGATGGAAGCCGGAAGTCGATGCAAATCGTACAAGAAGATAGCCGAAAAAACTGTTAAGTAACGTGTAAAAAAATAGTATTTTGGCGATAACTCGAAAACTACTGTAGCGACCGGGCTATGGGTCAGGATTGTGGTTAGTTAAGGTCCGATACACCTCTGGTCCAATTTTGGGACCGACCGGATGTGGTGCTTTTTTGGGGATACCCTGTACTATACCGTTTTTAGGTGGCCTCAACAAATGCGAATATTGTAATCAACGTCGCAGAGGAGACCGGTTCACCCCTCACCGTGCAATTGTGATTTTTCTACATGCTCCTCTTTTCACTGTCTCTTTTCTCTTTCCACCCACACACCTTGGCCGTCTTTCCCGTTTCCGATTATATTATGCCTTTTGTCAAAATAAAGATGAGCAAAATGATCGTGTTTTCCGGGCCGCAGAGAAGACCCCACAGACACTCCGAACAGCCGGCAGACAAAACTTTGTGAATGATTCCTGGGGGTCGCTGGTGACATGCATCGATTTCACTACCGACTTCCCGGCTTGATTCCGGAAAATGATCCGGATTCTGGTGGTGTTGATGTGCGTCCTGGGCTTGGAAGGTATGTATAAATTGGATCGAATTTGTGTTTAATAGAAGGTTCCAGGAAAACTACAAACAACAATTATAATTCTAAAAACTGCATTACATAAAAATATAAATAATTATCAATAGTAATATGGCATAAAAAATGTAAAAATAACTCGAATGTATTTATCTAACAATAAAACTTCGACTGACCTCTTGCCTCTTTAGGCGGAAAAGCAGGGAAGAAACAGGCAAACCAACCGAAATTTTTAGGAAATCCACTAGGTATCGTAAAGCTGGCTGCTAAGTTTAATAATCCAAGCATTTAATGAACCCATTTATCAGCCCTTAATTAGTAAAATTAACTTTTTGTTGCTTAATTTTAATTTAATAAATCTACCTAAATCTGAGGATTTTATGGCGGTATAAATATATGTCTTTAGCTTTCCGAGGCCCGAAAAATGGAGCTTGCGGACTTTGCGCCGAGCAGCCGATGATCAGGTTCATAAATATTTTTCATGGAATTTCTTTAGTTGATATCGTTTTAATTTTTCTGGATTTAATTCAAAGTGCTATATTTAGTGATGATGGCACAGCAATTGGAATTATCGATAATACGAAAGATTCTGAGGGTTGTCGTGTCGTGTCGCTGATTTGTCACAACGATATTGACCCCACATCGGTAATCCCTAATGTTTTTTTTGGTTTAAAAAGAATCCTAAACTCTTACATAATGAGAAAATTATTTTATCTAGGCATACCTGTACATGAACCGGGCCCTCCTTGAAAATCGGAACACCATCTCCGCGGTGTGCATGAATAATGGGTGGTTTTTGCGCGGAGCCGATGAGTCGATGGAGGTTGTAAAACGTCCAAATTATTGTAATATTTTCTGTTTTAGATGAAACCAATCATCTCCATATTCTGCTCGTCCGTTATGCTGTGATAATAATGAATAAAGTTGATTTTTTGCAACTCCCATGGCTTGTTTCTGCACCAAAATAGCCAAAAACATAAAGGTTCACGAATTCTTTAAATCTTTACAACCATACGTTCAAAATCATTTTGGAAAGGAGTTTTACGTCAAAAAACAGTAGTTTACAGGTTGTCAAATGACATAGCTAAAAAGAGGTAGGGGAGGGGGTAGGATAATCAATGAGGTGAGTAAAGGTAGCACAAGTACCATCTCCTTTGCCAATAATTTGAGATAATAAATTCTAGATTTTACTTTTTTGTGTTTTATGTTTTCAGTACTTTTACCCAGGTCGAAATTTTGTGTTTGGATGAATTTCACCAAATTTGCTTTTATCTCGAGAATCTGAGTCATGGGTATAAGGTTTTTCAGAATAGAAAAATAGTCTATTTTGGGTATGGGCCGTGTGGAAGAGCAGGTTGTGGATGGGCTTTTTAGAAGGAAGATTTATGGATGATTGGCCGTTTTTATGCAAATCGCGTAATTTGTTCTTAAAATAAATATGAAAGGTTGTGAGTTTATTTTAATTTTTCTAACTTTTCTACATTTTTCGCCCCTTCTCGGGCCAGACCCGCCACCCTTTTACCCTATGCCGTGACCCTGACCGTAGCCCAGCCCCTTTTGCCCTACGTATCGCAGAATCGCCCAGTATAGAAAATCGTTTAGATTGTTGGTGTATTTATTGTTGCGGTTTGTAGGTGTGATCAGAGTCGTACTGGGTGGCTAGTCCGAAACGCTACCCCCTACACCCCCACACCACGCGTCCGTAACGAATCATTAGAAAGCGCCAAATAATTTCTTTTTGCCGCGCGCGCCTTCATAGACAAGCCTTTTGAGTGACTTTTTAATGGTATCGGACCTAAAAACAATATATTCCATCTATAAAATCTTTTTAGATGATCATCCTCGACGAACGACTCCAAGCCACCCTCAACGGCGCCGTGAAAGACCACCAAAAAGATGCCAAGGATTTCACTGTTCCCGCGTCGTTCCATTTTATGATCGGCTCATTTACCGGGGAGCACGATATTCAAGTAAGTTTTCGTTAAATATATCTCAATCAATGTATTTTAGGTCGCCCACCTCGTCCCGTGTCCGCAACCTCCGAGGGAAGGGCCTGTGGTAAATTTTACATAGTTTTTACGTCTTGTAAATTATCTAGAACCACACAAATGACGCTATCAAAAGAATGGACACCGAATTTCTGGCCGAGCATGCCGATCGAGTCATCCGGATGCTGCCCGGCGGCGTGGATTTAGTTGGTATGGCCGGATAACTTTGAAAATGCGAAATTTTTAGGTATTGTACTGATTTCCGAGGAGAAGAAAGTGCTCCCGTTGCTGAAACCGGTGCTGCTTCAAGTTTTACAAGGCGTTGCAAAGGCCGCCACTGCTGACTCGACGTTCAACTTGTTCAAGTATATCACCCATATGGTGCGCTTTAAAATTATTGAAATTAATAACGTTTTTACTAGGGTTAGTCTCTGTTAATAACGGTGATTTAGGCGCTGGTAAGCATCGATGGAGCGGAAGGAAAGCAGCAAGGTTTTCTAGCCGACGTCAGCCATCGTGAGGGCTCGTTTTCTGCGAATAAAATCAGCTTTGATAAAGTAGGTTTTATTTAGGAAGCGAGAAAAATGTTTTATAGCTCCAATGGACGACAATTATCTCGAGGATTGGCGGGCGAGTCAGCGGCCACGTCCCGTTGAAAAGCAACGATTTTACAAAGGATCTACGGCAAATGCTTCAACATCGAGTGCGTCATTCTGCACTTTTCAATTTTTATTTTTAGGTACAACAAATCCTTGACTGCCAACTAATCCTCATTGACGATGTCGTGCGAAATTCCGACGATTTGCTGATCAAAGATCAAAAGCACAAGAAGCAGTCCTACGAATTGGCGCTTATGGTTCAATCGGAATGTGGGTACTTTGTGCGAAAAAGTCTGTAAACCCGTATTTTCAGGCGACATCGACGCGGCTTCAACGATCGAGAGCGAGACCGCAAATAATTGGCACGATTTTGTGTTTGACGTCGAGGTAATTGGTTTGTAACAAAATTCATATATCAAAAATTAGGTCCGAGCGGCGGTTCCGGTGAAGAGCAAGGTGAAAGATGCTGTGGCTGCCGTGAAGCTGCATGTTATCCGGAATTTTAGTGCGCGAGGAGGTATAGTATAAATTCCGAAAGTCGAAGCCACTTCTCCAGCCCTCGTCGCCGATCTGATGGACGTCACCGAGGAGAAAACTGTCCCCACAACTCAAATCATCCACCAGGTGACTCTTTCCTTCCACTACGATACTCACCGGCTTCAGAAAATGACCAAACTCGATCGGGCTTTCAATGACGGTGTCACTTACCAGATGCCGCGGCCCGCCACCACTTTTCTGCCCTCGCAGCCGGCCATCATATTCAGCGACTTTTTGTTCGAGGCCGAGGGCCCGGAGGATGCGCGCGAGAATTTCAAGGATACGCTCGGGTTGGACGTCAATTTGGGTACGTTTTTATACGCAAAAAGGTCTCTCGATTCTTGAGTCTTTCAAGGTTGGATCGACGTTTTTTCTTGAGGATCCAATTTTTTTTGATGCAGACCAAACGGTGTTTTATAATCCTAAACATGTAGACATAAGAATTTGGGTGAAAAATACTAAGATTATTTTTGAGCAATTATGGCTGCTTTTCGACCTAAATTTTTAAAATTAAAACAGTTTCGAAAGTTATGTTGAAACGTGTTTTGTTTTGCGGAAATATAGTTAGATTTGTCTAGAAACACATAAGGTGCTTATATGATAAAACCCCCGGGAAATATCACCACAAAAGCCCGTTTTTTTTCAGAAAATGTCGATGACGGATGGGAACGATCGTTGGCCATCGATGAAATGGAGGTCGTCAGGGCCAAGGAGGTCAGTTATTTTTAATTTTTGCTAAGGTCCAATTCTCTTTAGGTTGTTCCCGACCACGCTCCACTCATCACCACCTCCCCTGAAAACCCCTCGCAACGCCTGCCCTACCTCATCGTGGCCATGTCGATGATGATGGTGCTCGTCTCCTGGATTTTGTACCGAACCCTCGCTTCTTAAGCTATCATCTATCGCATTTTCGATGAATAACCCGCTATTTCCATTTTGAGCCCCCGATGCCATTTAAAAAGCGTTATTTTTGTTCCGCTGCCTTGCTAACTTATTTTACTCCTATCTAGCGTTCTCGCATATTGTGATACACATTTATTTTTCACGGTATTTTTGGGTGAGATAAAGACTGGTAGCATATATTGTTAGGGAAAACATCCGTTTTAAAGTTGGGTTCTGGTTCCTTAGCGGGGGTCGGTATTTTTTTTATATAGCTTATCCCGCAAAGGAATGAAACTAAATGTTATATTTTGCTAGTATTCTAGTTTGCCATTTCTAAACAGTCGTGAGAAATCTATGAAAAAATTGAAGTTTTGTGTCCTTTTTAAATATTTTCTTTAATGAGTTTTTATAAGCTTTGTTCTCTAAGGGGCGTAAAATAATATTCTTCATTAAACTAAAATTACTATGTCAGCCCTTATTTCATCATAGGGCGCCTACGGAACATAGGAAAAATCGTAATTTTCCTGCTAACCCCCCATAACGCACCAGCACCCAAAAGCCTTTCACAACATTAGCGACGATGTTGCACACATCAGACCGACGACCGCCCGCTCATTTTCGTAAATAAGGGCAACCCCGTGCGCTTGGGGTAAATGCTTCCGGGGGCCATTTTGGCTTCCGCTCGACC